AACCATAACAATTCTATGATTCTATGACATCAGCAGCAATAGCATATTGTCTTCAAATAACCAGAGGACCAGTTAAGCCTCAAGTCCTCCCAGCACTTTCTGCTCTTTCTCCAAGTGACTGAGAACTACAAGGTTTTACAGCACAGCTAGCACAAAAGCATGGCAGCCAGCTCCTCCATGCCATGCCTCTGCTAGAACGCAGCAGTGGACACAAGCTAGCAGCAAACTCCCGTTTCCCTTCTGGTAAGGTATTGCAGTGAGACCAGCAAACTAGCATTAGGTTACTTGGATTTATCTGCCTATCGCAATACTAATGGTTAAGAAGCCACATGGGCAATAATGAAGTCAGGCATAGCACTAGCATCTCTCAAGACATGGCAGGCAGCTTCAGTCTCTGAGCGAGCCATGGCCCTCTGTCCTCCCAGGGCTCCTAAAGAAAGCTCAGCCACGTACTGGCAGGCAGCAATTCTTTGAAGGTGTTCACACCCGCATCCTGCATCTGGTCTGCCTCTCTCTTTAGTTATCCCATGCCCCCAGCTTCTTGGCTTGTCTTGTTTCCTTGCTGGTGTTGTGGTTTTTTGTTATTGGGCAACATCTTTCAGTTGAATCTGTTTTCATCAGTGAGCTCTTTTGACTTGCTGACATCAGTGGAACTCCAAGAAGAAATAATGTATGATCATACAATCATCACTTCTTACCAGCACTTACAATACAGTTTTATTAAAACATTCTGCAGTCCTTAAAATGTCTTCTCATTTTCCTTAAAATGTTTTAAGAAAAATTCAGGTCTTAAAAATTCTTTGAGTCCCTTGCTTTGGGTGAGTCCAGATGTATTCAGATCCATCACAAGAAAGTGTGGACTCATTACTGTTGTGTAAAAGCTGAATGCAATAACAGACCTCATTATTACCTTCTGGGCTATGGATGTTTTGTAAGGAAACCACTGTGCTATGCCTAACTGGAGCAATTCAGTGGAAAACAATTTCCCATTGTTGTAGGTGAAACAGAATACTTTATCATTTATAACCTTATTCCTCTTCCAGTACATATTCAGGGCAGTAGCAGATCAAATGAATTTGGAATTTTGGGGCCCAGGCAAGCTGCACTACAAACGGCAGAGAAAAATGGAGATGGCCAGAGCTTCAGCTGCATGCCTGGTGACTCTATAGACAGAGGATGGCTAAGGGTTCAAAGTGAACCTGACTGTGCTGCCATACCTGGAAGGCCTAGAAGATTCTGATAACATATACCATAAGTACACAGAGTTAAAAGTTAGTGGCTAGTAAACAGTGTAAAGGAAACAGAACACCACCACTGGTAAGAGGTTAGGGACAGGGTTGTTCCTAGGGCTGTTCCTGGTGCAGACAGGGAATGGGCTAGCAGACCTGCATGGAGAACCAGGCACTTGCTGCTCCTCATGCTGCTAAGGGAACAGAGGGGGAAGGAAGTGCAAATGACTTCTGCTGTGAGTGTCCATCCCACATCTCCTGGCCGCAACCTGGTGGCAGCTGTCAGCCTCTCTCCCAAGGCTTTGGCATAAAGTGAAGTTGGCCACGGAACCACAGGCACATTTCTGCCCATGGCTACCCTAGCAGAGCCCTGGCAAGACATTGCTAAAAAGCAGCTTACTTCAGCTATCCTCCTGAAGCCACTTGCCCTCCCTGCAGAATACTAATAAAACCTTTACCGTCCTATGCTGCTTTCCATCAGGCTGTTGCAAATTGCTTTGCCAAAACTCATGAGTTAGCCTCACCTTGCTACTGCAAGATCAGTAGTAATTACTGCAGTATTATTGACAAGCCAGCGGAGGTGCAGAGAGGTTAAGATATTTGATGAAAGTGAGAGGTATCTGTCAGTATAAGGAAAAAGCTCCCAGAGGCCGCAATTACTTTGCTTGTGTGTTTTTTTAAGCCAGATTTCCAGGGCTGTTGAGGAGACATGGATGCTGGTATTAAGGAATGGATACACTTAAACAATTTCTTTGCCTGTTTACTCATCTTGAGATTCTGAAAAATTAGTAGCAGCTGCAGAAAGAGCCTGCCTCTGCACCCTGCCAGAGAAATACCCAACGCCAGGCTTTTCACCCCCAAGAACAAAGAGCTAAATTTAGGTACTCTGTTATACTCATCAATTACAATCAGATGGGATTTCACTGTCCAGGTGCTGAAGGTCAGCAAGATTAACCTGACCAACAGTAATGTTATTTCACATTAGATGTACAGTTTTCCTGCAAAGCTGCCAATAACTTGCACTAGCTCAGTGCCTTGGAAGGTCAAGGCATCTATTCTGATAACTAAATACAAATGTTGGTAACTAATTTCCTGGTAGTCGCACACAAACCTATAGATTTAGCAGGGAAGGTGCTGAACTGACAGTCTGGAGACATAAGTTCCTTCTCTATGGAACAGGTGGGCTGTAGGCCAAGTAAGCCAACTTCCCTGTCCTGCCCCACTGCTACACCTTACCAGTGTGCTGACAGGTGAGTTACGAGGGGCCATATGACTGTTAAGCTCTTTGCTGATCAAATCTACCAAAAGCCATCCATTAGCATCAGCATTTACAAGGCCCAGAAACGAAGACCCAACCTTTTTCTCAGACTGAGTCCTACAAACGTGCTGCTCCCGTGCCTAAAAAGATTCTTCCCCTTTATTGCCAACTTTTCCTTTCCCTGTTCCCTTGCACTGCCAAGTTCAATGCAACACAGCAGCCCCTTTTTCGCCCTAGGTCTTCAAAAACAACTTGCTGCTTCGGAGCCCTGGATTTTATAAATACTCATGGGTGTATTTGCACAATACGCTAAGGAAGAAGGGAATTACCATTCATGTTTTAAATAACAAGATAGTGAAACTGAGTGGGTTGTACAGGGAGACTGAGTCCAAGCCAGAAAATTTGTTTAGATTCCTCACCTTTCAGGTGACTGTTTTAAACAAACTCCAACCCATTATCCCACCTTGTAGAACAATATTATTACTCAAAGATCATAGTCCCACGGTTTTTCACCCAATAACAGACACAAATCCCTCCATTATTGTGGGATTTTCACTCCCATTTAAGAGTATATAACCAGGTCCATGGCAAAAAAGTGCAATGTGAGAAACTGGTGGCAGTCAAAAGGTGTTTCCTAACAGATTTACCTGTTCTTGAAAAGCATTGGCTTGTTCTTCAAATCCAGCTGTTCTGAAATAATTCACAACGTCGGTAACAGCCCAGTCGGCAGGATCTGGAGGTCTCCCATTCTCTACTGAACTGCAAAGTGCAAATCCAGACAAGTAATCACTAAATGTGTGCAGAGCATCTGCTGCTTCTTTGTGCACATCTCATGTACATCCCCTTCTTCCTTGTTCCTCCAGGAAAAGCATCCTTTGACACACCTCCCTCTGGCCCTGATACAGAACAGTCACTCCTGTTCTCTTCCATTTCAAAGACCTGATGCTGGGGACAACTGAGGCACCTCTTCCTTCAGAAAAGAAGAAAGTGTATGAATCTTCTTCACCTCAGCCAAAAGTAAGCAGTCAGGATCTTTTCCTGCAAGTGTGCTGCCTTTGCAGTTGGAGAATAAAGACTACCATGACTGAAGTACCAAATCCCTGTCTTTCTAGACTGCAGCTTTTTTTAGCTATCAAGTACTTATAAAGAATTGCAGTATGTGGATTATTCCTTTCCTAGATGAGACTGTGCTTCCTTGTAATATGGGCAGAAACTACTGGAAACCATCTTTACCTTGTAAAACAGAAAAAAAAGAGAGGCACCAATGATTGCACTAATTGCTCAATATAGAAAATTTCCAAAAAGTGTTTTTGGACTCATCTTTGGACAAATCTATGGACTTTTAAAATAGCTATGAATCTGAGAAAACATTTGTTAAACACAACCAGAATGAATTCCTTCTGTGATTGACCTCAGGCAACTGCTTTCCACAGTAGCAAAAACAATCAATCATTCATATTACTATCCTTATCCTGCATTTCTTATCCTCAACCTGCCATCACCCTATCTCAGACAACCTTTGCGTACCTGCAAATTCTTGGTAAAAAAAGACATACAGCAAGCTTGATTGCCTTTCCTATAGCCATTCAGGAGGATCAAGAGCAAGACATCAAAAGAAAGAACTTCAACATGTTTCTCCAACTAGAAGTCCCAAAGTTCATGCTAGACATTTTTCACTGTTCTGCATGCTTAACCATAATGCTAATGAAGAAATATCAAAAATGTACAGAACAGGGCAGATGTCAGAATCCTGGCCATTTCAGGTACTGAAGCTTAGAGCAGGACTTTAATTTTCAACAGCACCAGCTGGAAAAGAAATACAGATTATACTCTCCTGACAGCATTTTTGTTCCGTCCTTCAAATTTTTCTTTTCCAACTGTCCCCACCTCTGTCTTGCCTAGACTTGTATGTCTTTCAGCAAAATAACTCAGTGAATCAAGGGCCAACCATTTTTCCAACCAGCCATGCAGAGAAGCAAATAGAATCACATAGTGCCTCCCATCACTGTTTCTAAAACATCCCAATTTCTACAACTAGCTGAGCTCTGGGAAAGAGGACTCATGAACACAATGATTTTTTGCTTTTCCCTTAACTCTTGGAGGGTACCTGTCAATATGGCAACAAAATTCGAGCCCTAGGGACTCACACTGCAACCTCGATATCACACTGTATGCTGCACTTGGCCTTCTAAAAGCAGTTGCTTTCACCTATCACATGGAATATACACATATCTCAGAGCAAGGAGCAAAGGGCCAGAGTTTCTTAATTTTGCTCATCAAGTAATGACTTCATGAATCACTTCACTGATTGTGATTATATAGAAAGGCAACACTCAGCTAAACTGAAAATGAGACTACCTGGCCTTATCAGAGCTGCACTGAAAAAAAAAAAAAAAAAATCAAAGAATGCCTTTCAGTTAAGGTTTTTGGTGTTGCACACATTCTGAGGTTTAAGTAGTAAAATGTGAAAAGCACCACACAAAACCTACACACATTTGTAAAAGCAGCATTCGAAGAATTGTATTTAAATCTTTCCATTTTCCCTAAGACATAGACTATCACTTTCGATGACTCATCTTCTACTTAAAAATAAACAAACAAAACCCCAACAACTCAGTATTTTAAAAAAATAATAAATCCTAAAAGATATTGAATTTAATTCTTCCTGAACAGCAAATAAAAGATTCAATCTGTAAAAAATACCTCCTAACTGTATTTTGCTTACTTGCTAACAACACTTTGATTTCAAGCTAATGATGGTCCCAAAGTCTCCTTCCCACAATTTTGTATTTCAGCCTGGGTGCGTTAGTTCTTCATGTAGCTCTTCTGCCACTAGGGAATTACAACTTGGTGCAGCCCCATCCCAGGCTCAACTGCAACGACTTCAGGGGCTCTACCTTAGTCATTAACTAATCAGAGGAAATAACTGCAAGTTCCTGCCTCAAGGAATAGTATCATGCTGGACCCTAAGTGGAGCCAATTTCCACAGCTACAGCTGCAGAAGACTCAAAGGTACGTGGCAGACTGTTGGAGGCTGGCTGGATTTTAACCCATTTACCCATATAGATGCTCATTTGGTTTCTACACTTTAACAGTCTCCTTGCCCTGCTGTTACACATGGCTCTTACTCTTTAGGCAAGGAAAGGGAGTATGTAACAGCCATGGCTTACCCATACACCTGTTTATGCAGACATCCTGGATGCTGTAAAATCTTAAGAGGACTGGCATTTTAGGCTTTGTAAAGAGATACTAGATGCGCTGATAATGAATAAAGATTAGGCTTGTCTGCTTTTCACCACTGTCCCTGTGCCTTTATTGCCATCATGTGGCAGAAGCAGCAGGGCCAGAAAGGGTATAGCTGTGAACAAACAGATTTTATCCAAGCTATTTGTAACCACTTCAAGAAAGTGCCAAATACTTCCTTTGTAGATAGCACACACACATACTGTATACATTCATTTAGAAACCACAGCTCCTGATCAGTTTAATTACAACCCCCAGCAGTTCTAAAAAGCCACCTTTGCAATTAATAGTCGAGCCTTTATCACCTAATCCTCAGGGGAAAACGATTAAATGTAAACTGTCCTTGCTTTTGACTGACTCCCTTCTCCCACCACAGAGTCCTCATTGTAGAAGCAAGACTGCCAACTGAAGGTGGCTTCTGAGGGACATACACGATATTCACAGTCACTGCATAGGAAAATGCATTTTATCTTGGTGTGGTATAAGCAATGTCTCAGGTGAAGGGGGAACGCATGCTGATTTTAATGGCTGCCATCAGCTCTTTTGATGCTGTGTCATAATCACCTGTTTTATCAGCATCCTGAAGTGATCATTATTACTATTATTACATGTATTACTGTAGTGCCTGGGAGCCTAAGCATTGTCAAGTTTTCTTGGAAGGTTTATGGAAAAGAGATCTGAAGGAGAAGAATGAGGTGCAGCTTTGCAGAAGCGTTGCAGTTGAGAGGACAGAATTTCTCTAGTACGATCCTTTGTGTTGCATGTTTTATGGTTTGTGGGTTTTTGGTTTTTTGTTTGTTTGTTTGAATACATCTAAATGCATATATCTATCTTAGCACGGCTTCTATAACCCTAAAGCAGCAAGGTCAAATTTTTCCACACAGAACTCCACTTCTCAGGTCATAACTTCATTCAGAATTGCTAGTCCTAATCTAAGAATTGCTGACCTTTGAGGATACAGAAATGCCTCTAAAACAGTTCCTATCCCTTAGCCTGCAGTCTACCACACTAAAGAAAAACATAGAGCAGTGCACACCATGTCTCTGTCTTATTCCCACCCTAGGTCTGAAGTAAAAACCCAGCAGTTCAGAGCTTCTCCAGCAAACAGCTTAAAATATCTGTTCCAGAAGAGAACTGACACCAAAGACGTACGCTGCTGCTACTGCTTCTCAGCTGTAGGTGGTTGGGCAGTCAGCAGAGAAGAGCGTATGTCTCTCAATGAGACAGAGAGGAGACTTCCACACAGGACACTTCTCTCCATCAGGCACTGGTTTTGCAAAGGCCACCAGCAGACAGGTGAGCAGAGGTAGAGTATTGGTTACAATGCTACCGTTTGCTTTAGCCTCTGGTTGAGAGGAGAAATCAATGGAGAAAGGTATACCCCTAAGTTAACTTATGAGCTCCTACATTTCTCCATTGCTATACAGTCTTCCCACATATCACTTTTAATCAGTTCAGTGCCCAAGAGCCTTTTGAAGCTGAAATACAATGAAAGTAATTGAGAACAGGGAAGGTTTGAAATGAGTAAAGACCGAGGTGCCCACCATTGCCAACTGCATTAAGCCAAAGGAAAACTACAGTCAAAATCCATGTGCTGTTTACATAAACTGAACACTATGGATTCACTTACTTTTTGACATCCAGAGAGCCATTTTCCTTGTTTTCCATGTCAACAGTTAGCATGGGGAGGATAGAGGTTTCTTTTTCTCCAGCAACTGATCAATAGGGGGGAAAAAAGCTGTGTTTAATTATTGGTAGTATGAAAAGTGCAACATAATGTAATAGAAACAAGCATTCTACAGGGACACAACCATGTTTCCACGTGAGAGCAAAGGTGCTGTCAAAGACTGCTTTCCTCAGAAGCCTAGCAAAGGTGGTAATAGCTAATGAACTAGGAGAAGTAGACCTGTGCTTCAAACATAAGAAATATTTCATGCCTGAAAACCAAGGAAGGTAATGTTACATTTGATCCTTTTTGAAACTAGTAAAATTTTATATATTCATACACATAGAGATTGACCTGCAATATATAGCTAGATATCAAGAGAGCTTATTATGCCTTCAGTCATCCTGCTATACAGAGGATCCAAACAGATGTATGATCTTATCCCTAGCGAGGTTTTGAAACCCATAGCCTTGTTCTACAAATGGGGAATCTGGGAAATAGATGAGCGCAGTGACTTATACCCATCTCACACATAAGGCTGGTAAGCTGAGTTACTAATTGAGCACCAAACTCCTGAGGCCTAAATCAGTATCTCACCCATAAGACCATCCTTCCTGCACTTGCACAGCTTCTTCTATAGGTATGGTATTCTGAACTCTAAAAAGGAAAGGAGCGTACAAAGGACACAGGAGAAAATCCAGTTTGTTTCTCTCCTTGCAGCGTCCTGGAGTAATTTTACCACACAGCTTTTTCCACTATTCCACAAAACACGAAGAAATGACCCAAGCCTTTTCTTTCTGTTCTCAAGCAAGCCATTTCTATTTCTGAGAGCACCAAAGAACTGACCAAGGACTCAGGATGTTCTTGCTGTAACATTAATGGATGCCAGTGAAATGTCACAGGGCTTTGCAAAGTACAGAATAGGGAAATCACACTCTCCAGCTAAAACTTCGCAAAAATGGAGGATATCAATTAATACTGTTGTCAAAAAAAAAAAAAAGGCCCTTTATTATACAGCTAGCAGCATGTAAAGCACCAAGAAAACAGTAACAAACTAATCAAAAAGATGCTTCTTCCTGCACCGCTGACCAAATAACTCAACGCATTCCCTCAAATCACTTCTTGGTTCACCTGAGGTGACTGCAAAACG